CTGTAAGCACCACGGTGGCCCTTTGTGATCTGAGTGCCAGACCAGGGAAGTGCTGCTCTTTCTAACCCATGATGTGATTTGTGTAAATAGCTTTAATTTTTGCCTTGGCGTCTTAGATGAAGTTTTGTTTCTGTAGCGACCAGGTAGACAGAGACCAAATGAGGCTGTAAATGTGATGTTTTCTACTGTGATGTACTTGAAGGAGAATCTCGTGTCCTCCAATTTTCCATAGTATTTTGTGTTTGGGGAGTCCTGAGGTTACTCTTTGATTCCTACTTTGCCTCCATTCTCTTTGTTTCTTCTGGAAACCCAGGGAGGCCCCCAGTGGAGATCATTTGTAAGGAATGTATCACGGTCTGGGTTTCCAAGAAAATACCCTACGTACAGAGAAATAAGAAGAATCTGCCTGAAAATGGTTTCGGCACCGTGTAACCTTTCTGCTTTGTGATTGTGAAACCTTGACTTTTGTAACCCAAAAATGAAACCTGTTTAGTAAAGGGGATCTATTTTGTGTGTTTTGAAATTTAGGTGCAATGTTCCCTGGAAAAAGCTAAAGAAATGTATATGCTCAATGCCGTTTTAAAATAAAATATTATATATATATATATGTATATAGGATACCTTTAGCAAAACTTCTCTGTGTCACTTCTTTCAATTCACTAAGAAGTTTCTTCATATCAGGTAATGGAATGAGGTGAGAGGGTCATGGCCTCATGGGGAATCGTCGACTGGGAATAGACTCAAAAGAAAATCAGATGGGAATGGATGCCAACACTGTAGGTCTTCACAGGAAATCGGCAGTCAAGACTATACATTTCATGGTGCCTCTAAAACTACCGTGGACACTGTTCCCAAGAACTACTCCGAACAGGTAATTCTTTCTTTTTTTCAGCGTGAGATATGACTGACGTGCTACACTGTATTAGTTTCAGGTGTGTAACTTAGTGATTTGATGTGGACTGTGGCCCGCCAGGCTCATCTGTCCATGGGGACTCTCCAGGCAAGAACACTGGAGTGGCCTGTCGTGCCCTCCTCCAGGGGATCTTCCCAACCCAGGGATCCAAACCAGGTCTCCCACATTGTAGGCGAATTCTTTACCATCTGAGCCACCAGGGGAGCCCAAGAATGCTGGAGTGGGCAGCCTATCCCTTCTCCAGGGGATCTTCCTGACCCAGGAATCAAACCAGGGTCTCCTGCATTGCAGGCGGATTCTTTACCAGCTGAGCTACCAGGGAAGCCCATCTATTACTATATAGGATTACAAACTTTTTTTTCCTTGTGATCAGCACAATTATGCAGCAGTTTGAACATTCCCTGGCTTTTCCTTTCTTTGGGATTGGAATGAAAACTGACCTTTCCCAGTCCTGTGGCCACTGCTGAGTTTTCCAAATCTGCTGGCATATTGAGTGCAGCACTTTAATAGCATCATCTTTCAGGATTTTTTTTTCTTTTAAACTAGGAACTTTTTTTTAATCAGTTACAAACTAAATTACAAATAATGTGAACAGCAAGAACACTCAAGGACAGAAGGTGGGAGAAGAGAGAGAAAATCATAAAAAGAACAAAAATTTTTTAAAAAAGAACAGCATATCTGCATTACAAACCCCAAGGTGCACATGGCAACAATCCCCACCCATTCCCACTTAAAAAACTACTATAACCTGAAATATAAATATAATTGTTCATCCTTATCTTAAAGAAATATTTTTTCCCCAATGTCCCCACTCAGTGACTGCCCTGAGTGTCAGAATTCTCAAAATGATGTCTCAACCTTAACTTTTACTCTTGCGGGGTGGCCTTCAGAGGAATATGGGACCTAGCACCTTAAGAATCTTAAAAAGAAGAAAAAAATTCAAACACCTTTCACTTGCCTCATAAGGTCAAGGGTGAAGCACAGTCCCTGTCCCAGAGCCTCCTAGACACACCTTGCCCAGAGGAGGGACAGGCAGGAAGCCTAGGAGCCATCATACTGCAGCCCCACCAGGACTGCAGAGACTGGCAGTCTTAAGTCTCCCAGATGTTAAGCGAGATGAAACACTACAATTAGGGTATAAACTGGTTGGATCTATTTTTAAAAACCTAATTCTTTAAAACAGGCCCCTCCACAATGTTTTAGTTTTGCTTGGTTTTCAGAGGTTCCAAATTAGCCCCCACTGCTATCAGTGGGCCTTACACAGTGGCTCTGGAGGCTTGGGGTCTCTATCATCCCAGATACAGAGAATGATAATAATGGGGCTTTCAGAGACTGGGATGGCAAGCCCTATGTGGACGGAGGAGAAAGTCTTTTTATTTTGTCTTAAAAACAAAACCCCAGCCCTCTTAAGCAATGACTAAGAGGAGGGAAGAGAGGCTAGTGAAGGCCGACTTCAGTTCAGTTCAGTTGCTCAGTCATGTCCAACTCTTTGTGACCCCATGAATTGCAGCACGCCAGGCCTTCCTGTCCATCACCAACTCCCGGAGTTTACTCAAACTCATGTCCATCGAGTCAGTGATGCCATCCAACCATCTCATATCTAATACTGAAGTGTCCTTTCAATTTCACCTATTCCCTCCACTCCATCACTCCAGAGTGGACTGGTTAAGAGGGGCAGGTGAGTGCTAAGGCAGCCAGACAGGATCGGTGAGCTGAGAGCCCAGGGCCGAGCCAGATCACTCTTGCGCTGGAGGAGAGGCTTGAGAAGGTGATCAGGGTCGAAGGTGAGGCACTGGCTTGGTCACATCCTGGAAGAAAGGGTGAGCCAGAGCTGCCCTGGCTGAAATCCGCTTGTTAGGGTCATAGTGCAGCATTTGTGGTAACAAGCTCCATCCATCTTCATCTGGCACCACGTTGCTAAAATCTTGCCTGGCCCACTTGGGGAAACTTGGCTTATAATCCAGCATAGAAGTAACTCCTGGCCAAACCACCTCATCTGGGCTCTGCAGGGTCCGAAAGATCCTGTAGAGTTGGTCAATCTCAGAATCTCCGGGGAACAGGGCCTGGCGGGTCACCATCTCAGCAAAGATGCAACCGAGGCTGCAGATGTCCACAGTTGTGGAGTAGTCTTTGCAGCCCAGAAGGATTTCCAGTGCTCAGTACCACAGTCACCACCTCATCAGTGTAAGTACGAACAGGGACCCCAAAAGCTCTGGCTAGTCCCAAGTCTGCTAGCTTGATGGACCCATCTGCGTTGATAAGCAGATTCTGAGGTTGGAGGTTTGGTGCAGGACCCGATAAGAGTGGCAGAAAGCTAGGCCCTGGCGCAGCTGGAACAAGTAGCTCTTTATGAGGGGAAGAGGAATGCCAATGAGCACAGAGGCGTCCATGAATTGAGATCCTGGTGCAGAAACTCAAAAACCAGGTAGAGTTTGTTTTCTGTGTGAAGGACATCCAGCAGTTGGACAATATTGGGGTGATGAAGCTCCTTGAGCAGTACTGGGTACACACACCCTCTGTCTCAGTGTCCAGGCGGATTTTTTTAAGCGCCACCGCTTCTCCCGTCAACTTGTTTTTGGCTTTGTACACAACTCTGTACGTGTCCTCTCTGATCTTTTCCACTTTTTGGAAGTTCTCCATGAAGCCTAGCAAGTCGGGTCAGCCCGGCCCTGGAGAACCCTGCAGAAAAAGGCACCCAGCTCTTGGGAGCAAGGAGGGGAAACAGGGCCCAGCACTGCAACCTGAGGTCGGGATGGAACATAGAGTACCTCTCACTCTTGTCAATTCATCCAACTTGAAACAATATTGCGACTTCCGCCCCTCCTCCCCGCCAGTTCCCTCCTTTCAGGATTTTAATGGTAGTTCTATTTAATTTTCTGAGGACCTTCCATATTGTTTGCCATAGTGGCGCCATCAATTTACGTTCCCAACAACTTTTTTCTCCATATCCTTGCCAACACTTATTAAGGTCTTTTGGATAATAGCCTTTCTGAGAGGTGTGAGGAGATATCTCATGGTTTTGATTGGCATTTCCCTGATGACGAGTGATGTTGAGCCTCTTGACATCTGTTGGCCATGTGTATGTAGTCGCCTTCAGAAAAATGTATATTCAGATTTACTGTCTTTTTTTTTTTATTTTAAGCTGTGTGAGTTCTTTATGTATTTTGGATATTAACCACTTATCAGATGAATGTCCCATTCAGCACTTTTTCATTTTGTTGATGGTTCCCTTTGCTGTGTAGAAGTGTTTGATGTACAGTCACTCTTGTTTATTTTTCCCCGGGTGCCAAATCCAAAACATGTTTGTCATGACTAATGTCAAGGAGCTTACCACCTGTGTTTTCTTCTAGGAGCCTTGTGGTTTCAGGTCTTACGTTCAAGTGTTTGTTTGTAGTGTAAGTAGTCACTTGGTTTCATTCTTTGGCATATGGTTGTCCAGTTTTCAACGTATCATTTGTTGAAGAGAGTGTCCTTTCCCCAATGTGTATTCTTGGCTTCTCTGTTATGTAACTGACCCTATATGCACAAGTTTATTTCTGTTTATTTCTATCTCTATGCTGTTCTACTGGGCTGTGTGTTTGTCATCATGCAATGTTATAGTTTTATCAGGATACATGATACTTATAGCTTTGTTCTTCTTTCTCAATATTACTTTGCCTATGTAGGGTTTTTATGCTTCCATATAAATTTTAGGACTGTTGGTCCTATTTCTGTGCAAAATGCCATTGGAATTTGAACAGAGATTGCATTGAATCTGTAGGTGCTTTAGCTAGTACGGACATTTTAGCAATATTAATTCTTTCAGTCCATCAACACAGTATATCTTTCCATTTATTTATGTCTTAAATTTCTTTCATCAATGTCTTATAATTTTCAGTGTATAAGTCTTTCACCTGCTTGGTTAAATATATTTTTAGAAATTTTATTCTCTTTGATGTAATTGTAAATGGGACTTTTAATTTCTCTTTCTGATAATTTGTTATTAGTGTGTAGAAATGGAACAGATTTCAGTTTACTAATATTGTATCTTGCAACTTTACTGAATTTGTTTTTTAGGAAGTCTTTAGGTTGTTTTTTATTTAACATATACTGTCATGTCATTTGCAAATAGTGACAGTTTTACTTCTTTCTAATTTGGATGCCTTTTCTTTCTCTTGCCTTCTAATACTGTGTTTAATAAAAGGGACAACAGTGAGCATCCTCATCTTGTTTCTAATCTTAAAGGAAAAGTTTTCAGCTTTTCATCTCTGAGTGTGATGTTAGTTACGGACTCTATATATGGTCTCTATTATGTTCAGGTGAATTCCCTCCATACTCATGTTGTTGAGTTTTTTATCATAAATGAATATTAGAAATTTGTCACATAATTTTTCTGTATCTATTGAGATGATAATATAATTTTTATTTTTCATTTTGCTATTGTGGTGCATCACCTTGTTTTGAATATGTTAAACCATCCCTGCAGCCTTGGAATAAATCCCACTTGATCATGATGTATGATCCTTTTAATATATGGTTGAATTTGGTTTACTAATATTTTGTTGAGGATTTCTGCATCTATGGTTACCAGGGATATTGCCCTGTAATTTTCTTTCCTTGTGATGTCCTAATATGATTTTGGTATAGTATTTATTCATCTTTGAAAGTTGGTTAGAATTCACCAATGAAGCCACTTGAAACTTTCATTTTTTGGAAGGTTTTACTGATTCAGTCGCCTTACTAACAATTGGTCTGTTCAGACTTCCTATTCCTCGTGATTCTGTCTTAGAATATGGTACATTTCCAGGAATGTAGCTATTTCTTCTAGGTTGTTCAGGTTGTTGGCATACAGTTGTTCACAGTAGTTTCATGAATGTTTGTATTTCTGTGGCATCAGTTGTAATGTCTCCTCTTTAATTTCTTTCAGTCCTTTCTCTTTTTCTCTTGGTAAGTCTCACTAAAGATTTGTCAACCAAAGGCCATCTCCTGGTTTCACTGGTATTTTCTATTGTCTTCTTAGACTCTATCTCATTTGTTTCTGCTCTGATCTTTGTTATTTCCTTCTTTTTATTAACCTTTGTTTGTTCTTTTTAATTCCTTGAGATATAGTTAGGTTGTTTATTTGAGATTTTCTTGTTTCATGAAGTATACACCTGTCACTACAACCTTTCTTCTTAGAACTGCTTTTGCTTCATCCCATAGGTTTTTGTACATTTTATTTCCATTTTCACTTGTCTCAAGGTTTTTATGATTTCTCTGTTGACCTATTGATTTGTTTGGTAGCTTGTTTAATTGCCACATATTTGTGAATTTTCTGATTTTAATCTTGTAATTGATTTCTACTTTCATAGCACCATGGTGAAAAAATATGGCTGATATGATTTCAGTCTTCTTAAATTTGTTAAGACTGTTTTGTGGCCTAAAACATGATCTATCCTAGAGAATGTTCCATGCACACTGGGAAAAAAAATGCATTTTGTGTTGCTGTTGGTGGAATGCTTTATTTCTGTTAAGTCCATCTTGTCTAATTTGTCATTTAAGGCATTTGTTTGATTTTCTGCCTGAGTGATTTCTATTGATCTAAATGGGTTATTAAAATCCCCTACTGTTATCATACTGCTGCTGTCTGTTTCTCTCCTTAGGTATGTTAATATTTGCTTTGTACATTTAGGTGCTGCTATATTATGTGCATAAACATTTACAAATGTTATATCTCCTTGTTGAATTGACCCTTTAATCCAAAGAAGTATTTTTGAGAGGGCTAGTGACTAATATCCTTGCTGAAGACAAGACTCAAGACTCCCCTCTGCCATTTAAGCATTTTAAGTAATTACAAACTGTTAGTAAAATGTAACATACTATAGAGAAAAGTTACCTTAACAGGTGGGATAAGACATCAAAAAATGCTAATTCTGCTTAGTTCTAGAGTCCAGTAAGTAACTTAGAGAATACTGACACAAAGTTAAAAATAATCTGAGTACTGATCCATAGCTGAAAAGCAGACTATTGATCATCTAAAGCCTAGTTCAGAAAAGCTGACTAGATAAGAAATGCTTATATTAAAAATGATTCTATTACAACATCTACCCAGCTCTTTTCACCTTTACTTTTACCCTAATGCTTATGGCACCTCCTCCTCTCAGCAGTAGAAACTCATGAAGAGAGTCCATCTTTGGATTAGATACCTTTAGATTTTTCTCTGTGGAAGATGGAGGCGTCTTAGCGTTCTCTCATGAGTGGTGCTTAGCATATCAGTTTCCCTCTTGGAAAGCTGCAGTAGATTGTCTCCAAAGCTGGCTGCCAAGTATGCCTTCTATGTCAGTGCGCAAATGCTCGTTTTCTCATCAAGATGCAGTGTTTGTGTACCCATCCGGTGAACTGGTCTGGCTTGTGACTTGCATTGATTAATAGAATGCAGAAATGACATTCTGAGAATTCCAAGCCTATGTCTCTAGAGTCTGTAGCACCTGCTTTCACTCTTGGAAACCAGCCGCCCTGCAAATGTCAGACTAAATTACTGAGTGATGAGGCCACCAGGGGGAGAACCTAAGTGCTCCGAAATTGGGAGTGAGCCCATCTTTGATTCTGAAACCCCGCTTGAATCACTCCAGGTGATACTATAAGAGAGAGGCCCAGCCAGCTCTCAGCTTTTAAGCCATTCCAGCTGAGGTCACAGGCACCACAGAGCAGAGAGGAACCATCCGCACTGAGCCCTGCCCAAACTTCTGATGCAGAGAAACATGAACAAATAATAAAATGGTTGTGGCGTCAAGCTGCTAAGATTTGGGTGTTTTATGATACGGCAACTGACACCTGAAATGAAGTACAGATAACCTGGCTCTGGAGGATTTGGGATACAGTGGTTAAAATTATGAACTAAAAAAGAAAATGGCATTAAGAAAGTATATGTGCAACGTGGGAAATAATCCTCCTCTTGGAACCTGGCGAGTGAATGAAATGGGGAAAGCAAACTCACAGCCGTAACGCAGAGGCTCCACCGCCGCCCACAGTGGGCCCCGGGCACAGACAGCTGTCAGATGAGGTTCCTGCAGATCCCGAGCTGCCCGGCAGTCAGCACGTGTGACTGTAATCCTTTATCGTCTGACATACATACATACCGTAGCGCTATCCTCTCCTCTTTGTTTTTGACTTTTTTGCTTTTAAATGCTCACGATTTTACTGTGAAAAGGGAAAAAACCAATAAACCAACAGACAAAACCTGTTTGTGGAATAAAAGGGGTGGGGGGAAATTACCTGAAGGTGGAAGAACTCACCTCCTATTTAGCATTTTGTACCTAAGGAAATAAAAACAAATAAAAATAATGCAGAGACTCTAACTGATGGCTATGATGACATCATGGCAAGAGTTCACCACACCTTGCTTTTGCTTCTTTGTGCAGCTTATAATGATCATTAGTAAACTAGGAAAATTATGACTGTTGGGGCTCTGAGTGAAGAACAGGGACACAAAGGTCTTTAAGTCCTTACTCGTGACAAGCCTATCTCATGCTGTACCATTCATGACCTTTGGGAGAGTCAATTCGTTCTTTGGCTCCCAAGACTGTTGCTTAAGAGTGTTAGCTTACATTTGGAGAAAAATAAAATTTTTAAATATCATATATGAAAATTAAAAAAAAATTCTCATCCTCATTTAAAAATCCCTATCTACAAAATACTTCAAATTTGTTGCCATCCTACTTTTTTTCCTTTAATTAAACGACAGGCCAAAGAATAAATTATGTATCTGAGCAATCTGTCTGCCTTTTAATTGCTTTTTCTGTCATTAGAGCCCTGAAAAGACTGCTGCTCTCTTAGTACATTTCCCTACGTTTTTGGCCTCGTATCTTTCACTTCTGATGAGATTTTCCAGTCACCTAACCTCCTCTGGTTTACTGATTCCAATTAACCTGTCTTCATGTGACTGAGCATGAGACGGAGCCAGGGTGTACCTTGACTGCCTTGCAAGGACAAGGTCTGATCAGTTTGCGGGTCCAGCGGGACTGTGGACAGGTCTCTGCAAAGTGTGAATGAAGATCTGGTGGATGGCACTCTTCTGAAAGGGGCATACACATACGAGCTTTCTCTTTTACCCTTGTTTAAAATTTTAATTAATGAATCTAGTCACACACAATAAAAGCAGATTAGCTTATTCAGAAGGCACTGCTGGGAGGTGGGAGTGGGGTAGGGAAACTGTTGACATAAGGGTAGGAAGAAAGTGAAGTTGCAGCGGCAAAATGTCCCAAAACAAGTCATTTCACACTCTTGAAGCTCCCTGATTAAAGAACTGTGGAGCTGAAAATAGTAGTCTTAGTAGTTCTGAATTAGATATTACCTCCCTTTTGAGTTTGGTCAGTGAGGAAAAAAAAGAATATTCTGGAGAACAGTGAAATTTCTGATCTCTCTGTCCTAGGTGGAAAAAAAAAATTCTGATTCCTGGCAGCTCTAAACATTAAGTCAGGGGACATCTGGCCAACGTACCAGTGGACAATAGAACCTGAAGGAAAATTAACTGTGCCTGTTTTCCTACTTAGGACCACTAGCAGGGCTATCATGATTAGTACTGTATGCCTCAAAACATAATGCAAATAGATGCAAATATTCATTGCAGTGGACTTCCCAGGTGGCTTAGGGGTAAAGAATCTGTCTGCTAATGGAGATACAGTTCCATCCCTGAGTCAGAAGATCTGCCGGAGAAGGAAATGGCCACCCACTCCAGTACTCTTGCCTGGAAAATCTCATGGACAGAAGGGCCTGCTAGGCTTTAACGTCAGTTAGGTCTTTCCTGGGTTTGCACGCTGCCCTGCACATGTGCAAAAACTCTCATGTCTTCAATAATATGCTATGGCTTTTCAAAGCCCTCTATGGACATCTTCACCAGCTTTTTCCCTTTTTCAGTATTTTGGTCAGCTTCTTGTTAACTCAACGGGTATGACTGCCTTAGATAGCTGTGATGTTGCTGATTGACAGGTAAAGTTAAGATAAGCCCTGAGAATGCAGGCCTTTCCAGAGAGTGAGATTCAAATAGTGACTATCCTCCGGGGCTGGGGATTTTGGGGGAGCTACACACGCAATCTGCTGGCCTGCTGGACCTCAGAGATACTGTAGTCACAAGGCTGTTGTTGCTCAGGGCTACCACAGATGCAGAGAGAGCGCACACAAACTGGTTCAGCTGAGTTGCCACCTTGCTCCTATTATGATTGGCTGTTGTTACCAAATAAACGCTCCCTGGATTGTTGCAATCCTCTGGTGAGTCTCCAGAGTTCTGAAGAAGGTGATCTGGGGCAACTTCTACCGGTATTCTCTTTGCGTATATGGAGTAATGGATTCTCAGGTCATTATTCTACCATTCTAGAAGCGCTTCTCCAGATGAAGAACCAGAGGTCCAGGTAGGCTACGTAGTTGCCCCAGGACCCAGAGCCAAGCAGCACCAAACCCGGAATCTCAAATCCAAATCCAACTTGACACTCAGCTTCCTCCCGCTCCAACAATCTTCTGGAACCTCTCATCAGAGGAGAAGCAGCGGTTACAAAACCTCCGTCCCTCCGTCGCCTACATACATGTTAGACAGCATTTTTAACAAAGCCCTTTCACACGGATCTCCAGTCTTAAGCTTTGAACTTTGTACTAATTAGTCAGTATCATCACACCCACCCATATCATCTTCTATAAAATATACTTCTGCCACAGGATCTCATATCCCTCTCCAGTGAGACTCTTATTCAGCTGGAGCTCCATGCCAGCATCTCCTTAGCACTTATTATGAAGGTTTACATTGGCCAGATTTACTTTCAGGATGAAACTGAGTACCGGAGTCAAACATAAGGCCCTTACCCAAGCAGAGTAAATGGTGTGTGCTACCCCAAGGGTATCAGCCGCGGTCCTGAACTTCCTATAAATTATTCGGTAACACGTGAGCAGCAGGTAAGCTTCAGCTGTCCATGCTTGACAATTAACAGCTGAAGAAGAGACACCCAGGGTCTGCAAGAACTGAACAAAATTCTGTTCAAATTCCTCTTGGACAAGAAGTGTGCTTAAAACATTGTACATTCTTGAGCACAGACCTGTAATAAAACTAACAGTGAAAGGTGGATCTTTTGCCATGGTGCCCAGCTGCACTATTTATTACAGAATCTGAGGTGTCAGAGTGCAGAGTCACTGCAGTGGGATCGATATTGCGGCTCTGGACGTCTCTCTCTCTCTATGGGCTCAGTTGACCTGAAGTAAGAAAACCGCTTCCCGTACTAACAGGGCAGTTTTCAAAGATCTACTTGACCTCTGCCTCTGGGCTTAGCAGTCAGAGTGGTAAGATGACATTTTTAGCAGAACAAAACCCAAAGAATTTCAGCTTAAGGGAACCCAAATCCAACAACATGGGAGCCATGAACATTTAATTAGTTAATACCCATCTCTTCCTGCAGGGATCTTAGTACCTGTCTGCACACTGAAGTCACCGGGGAGCTTTAAAAAAATTCTTAAACCAATTAAATCTGAATCCCTCCAGGGAGGGACCCAGCCATCAGTATTTCTGAAATGTTCTCCAGTGATTCTAATGTGAGAACCACTGGGTAAAGACATTAAGGACACACACACACACACACGGACACACACACACGGACACACACACACACACACACACGGACACACACACACACGGACACACACACACACGGACACACACATACACACACGGACACACACACACACACACACACACACACACACACACACACCCCAGAATGAGCTTTGGCCGATTTCACAAAGTATAAGACATCTACGTAAGTCTGAATTTCAGATAAAAAGAATTTTTAAAAATACAAGCATGTCCCATGCAACATTTGGAACATAATCAAAAAATTATTTGCTGTTCCTCTGAAATTCAAACGACTGTCCTATAATTTTTCTGTAAAACCTACACAGGACAAAACTGAAAATTAGACAGTAGGGGCATGAATAACACTCTACCAACAGAGAAATGTCACTAGTTGGTAATTTCTTATTAAAAAAAGAAACAAAAAGATCACGTGGAACATAACAAAACTGTGCCAGGCCAAAGCCATCCCGGGCAGTTTCCAAGTCCTGGAGGACGGAGGGCCACAGGAACGTTCCAGACAGGCCTCCTTCGTGCCCATCTCAGCCTGCTAGGGCCGCCCTAACCAAACACCACAGGCCCGGGGGCTTGAGCAGCAGAACGTAAACAAAAAGATCACGTGGAACATAACAAAACTGTGCCAGGCCAAAGCCATCCCCGGCAGTTTCCAAGTCCTGGAGGACGGAGGGCCACAGGAACGTTCCAGACAGGCCTCCTTCGTGCCCATCTCAGCCTGCTAGGGCCGCCCTAACCAAACACCACAGGCCCGGGGGCTTGAGCAGCAGAACGCTACTCTCCCAGTTCTGGAGGCTTCAAGTCCACAATCACGGTGTGGGCAGGTCTGGCTTCTCCTGAGGCCTCTCCCCCCTCGGTCTGGCGGGGCCTTATTGCTGTCCTCTCAGTCTTTCGCCCGTGTGTATGCATCCCTGTCCAAAGGCCCTCCTGTAAGGACGCGAGTCCTATCGGATCGACCTCATTGTATCCGAATTACCTCTTTGAAGGTGGAGTCTGGAAATACAGTCACATTCGGAGGTGGTGTGGGGCTGGGCCTTTGAACGAGTGGACTGGGAGGAACACAGTTCAGCCCAGAAAAGTGCCCCTGGCTGGACTGCAGGGCCGAGGCGGGGAGGCCGTGGGGCAGCCTAGTCTGATGTCCGCCTCCCAGCGCCCTACCACCAGGAACGGGGAAAGGAGACGTCCTCAGGGCAATGACGGAGATGAGCGTCAGGAGGGCAGAGGAAGCACCACTCTTTTCTGGGAAGAAAGGGGTAAGAGCGATGCTATCATGTGGGAGGAGGATTAGGGGAAGAGAAGGAGCAAGTGTCAAAATCAGAGGAACCGTGTGCAGGAGAGAGGAAGACAGAGCCATTAGCCATTCTTCCAGAGGTAGAGAACCCTGGGGAAGGGAGTGGAAATCACCCTTTCTATAGCTAAGGGGAACTCCTGGAAACCGAACCCCCCAAAACACAAACAAAAAACACTGCTCCCTTCCCTCTGCTATTTTAGGGAGGAAAAAAAACTGCCTCAAGTGTTAGGCTTTGCACAGGACTGAGAGTCGGGCCGTCATTTTACTGAATTCTCGGCCTCCGTCAGCCTTTAAGAGCACAGTTCATTGTTTCCCGGCAGCTGACCTGGGTTTTCCTGCTCTCTGGCATGAATATGCATGGTCGGCAGCCCCAGATGTGCCAGGCTGCTGGCGGGTCTTCAGGATCTGCAGGCGCACATGCACACGCGCGGCCTCCTCGGGGTTTCAGGCGGCGCCAACGGAAAGAACGGCCAGGAAGCTTCCCTCGCGGGAGGAGTCCCTGCCAGTCCAACCCCGCGGGATGCGTGGGCGACGCCCGGCAGGGGAGGCCCGAGCGGGTGGAAGGGGGCCTGGGGGCGGGCGGAATCTTGACCGAGGGGTTTGGATGGAGTTAATAAAGCACATAACTCTCCTGCACGTCCCATGTCTGCCAAGAGAGTGGTAGGAAAGGGGGCGGGGAACCGGCTAACCCTGCAAAGGGAAGTCCAGCCACAAAGCCACCGAACTTTTCCAGGGTGCTGAGGCACCGAGGTTCTCGCGGCCCAGTTTCTGGCGCCTTTGTCCCCGCGCCCACCGCGCGCTCTGGGCGGAAGGTCGCCGGCGAAGGCGGCTCCCCCGCCCCAGATCGGCTGCCTGGCCCGGGGCCAAAGCCCGCCGCAGCCACTCGCTGCCGTTCCGACGTGAGTGAAGGCTCCTTAATAAGAGCGTAAATAAAACTCCGGGCTGAGAAATGAGTTTTCCATGCCAGCAATCACCGGCCGAACCTTGGCTGTAAATAGTCTGGCAGAGCGGCGCAGATGGAGCCCCCGCACCTGGGTGATCGCACCATCTCCGAGAAGCGCCGTGGCCGCAGCTGGGCGCAGTCCAGACGCCGGTCCTCGGGGAGGCCCGGGGATGCTGTAACCGCAGGTACCGCGCCGCCTCCCCGCCCCCGCGCTGGAATCATCTTAGCCTGCCTTGTCCTCGGGAGGACGGACCGCCAGGCCCCCTAATTTATGGTCATTGGTGTAATAGCTTTAAAGTGATTTATCTGACCGCAGAGGAGATGGCAAACGCTCGGAGGAGAACGATTGGCCGGGCAGGCTTTGTGCATTTCTGATTGGCCTTATTAATTTCCACAGAGCTGGGGAGCGGCCTCTTGACTGAGACAGGGAAGTCAACCTGGCAACAGCCTCTCGGAGAGGGGGCTGGGGCCTGGCAAAGGTTTAGCTCTGGCGGAAACTTATAGAATGTACTGCTTAAAAACTCAGGGACTCTGATAATGAACTGCTTGAAAAGTCTTGGAGTCTGACAATTTGCTAGCATACTGATGAAAGTAGATTTAGTCTGAGAGAGGGTAAGGGTCTTTTGATTGGACAGCTTCCTTATTCTTTTTTTTTCCTTTTTGTTTGTATAGGCCTTGGGAGGTGGAAGGGAGGAAGAGAAGGGAGATTATTTGTTTTTAATATTTGAGTTGGGGGGGGGGCGGGAAGCAACACTACTTAGAAGAGAAGGAATTTGAAGGTATCATGGAGTGGAGGCGAGTGTTTCTAAAAATGCTGTATTTCACAATCATTTGTGTGGGGAAACGATTTCTTGCCTTTTGAGTTTTCTTCAGACACCACAACGAGTATTTACTGGATGTATAAATGACTGGATAAGCACACCAATATACCACACTTCACAAGGCCATTACTCTGTGTTACTGCAGTAAGTGTCATTTATATGTCACCCTTGAGTGATGCAACTTAGTCCCTTGAATAAGAGGGACTAAATAAGAATACTGCGGGAGTTATATTTAGTGCAAACTATTTCCATGTGAATGAATAACCCATTCAGTAGGGGTGGATATGCAATTCGAATGTATATATATTAATTTACTGTATTTATTTGTGTGTGTGGGACTCAAATGTAGACACACAGCACTAGCAACCCCCAAACACTCTCCTTAACACTGCTCCTCCGGGGGTCTCTGATAATGAACTGCTTGAAAAGTCTTGGAGTCTGACAATTTGCTAGCATACTGATGAAAGTAGATTTAGTCTGAGAGAGGGTAAGGGTCTTTCGATTGGACAGCTTCCTTATTCTTTTTTTTTCCTTTCTGTTTGTATAGGCCTTGGGGGGTGGAAGGGAGGAAGAGCAGGGAGATTATTTGAATTTAATATTTGAGTTGGGGGGGGCGGGAAGCAACACTACTTAGAAGAGAAGGAATTTGAAGGTATCATGGAGTGGGGGGGAGTGTTTCTAAAAATGCTGTATTTCACAATCATTTGTGTGGGGAAACGATTTCTTACCTTTTGAGTTTTCTTCAGACATCACAACGAGTATTTACTGGATGTATAAATGACTGGATAAGCACACCAATATACCACACTTCACAAGGCCATTACTGTGTTACTGCAGTGTCATTTACATGTCACCCTTGAGTGATGCAACTTAGTCCCTTGAATAAGAGGGACTAAATAAGAATGCTGCGGGAGTTATATTTAGTGCAAACTATTTCCATGTGAATGAATAACCCATTCAGTAGGGGTGGATATGCAATTCGAATGTATATATATTCATTCACTGTATTTATTTGTGTGTGTGGGACTCAAATGTAGACACACAGCACTAGCAACCCCCAAACACTCTCCTTAACACTGCTCCTCCGGGGACCAGAACAAAGCCAAAGAGGGAGGGTGAGGGCGTGACTGCTTGGGGGAGCGGGGCAGGCTGGTGTCACACGTGCGGTGGCACACCCATTTCTTTTATTTACAGCTCTAACCAGAAAAGGAGACTGGGAGCAGCTGAGTACCAATTTACTGTGCTGCCTGGACCAATGAGTGGTTGCCTTAAATGTCACTGAGTTGGAAGGCTGTGCATTTCATTCACTGCCAGGTTAGAAGAAGCTTTGAAGCAGGTCGGAAAGGCGCCCAGTAATTGTCCTGCCACCTATCAAGGTGAGCAAGTGCAGCCCTGGCAGGGAGGCTGGCCCAGTGGGGGATGAGAGCTGCCTGTCATCACGGACGAATCTCATCAAATGCTGCCTGCGTAGAAACGAAGGTGGCCCATTTAGTCCTACTGCAAGAGCCGAGTGGAGCGGAAGGGTAAGGGTTGCCTTCCAGACCAACAGAAATGGATTTGGAGGCTAGGAGCAGCGGCTTGTTCGGGCCACAGGCTATGGCATGCGCACGACACGCAGACGCTGTGTCCAGCTCCCTAAATGTGTAACGCTCAACGTGCAATAAGTCCAGTAACATGGGGTGCTGTGGAGAATCAGAGGTTAAGAGTCTGCAAAGGTCAGGGAACGTATTCCAGGTTGACCACTGCAGTGGATCACGAAGGATGAAAGGGAGTTGGTCCAGGATAGAAGGTGAAGGTCATGCCGACCAGGGTGGATCATGGAGCATAAGGGAGGGGGCAAAGAGCAACCCTGTTTAGTGCCTGCTGACGATCCTGACAAGTTCAAGCTGCATGTCATCTCTGTATGAAACTGTTTATAAGATGCCAGAAGTTTCACCCCCTAGTAAAGACTAGCAGTCAGGTGTCTCCTAATTGTTTCAAGACCAAAATGGAAAACCAAGTATGTCTAAGAACATCAAAGCCGCAATGACTGCAGAGAAGTCAAAACCACAGAAGAGAACTAAACTCTGAACTCTTTGAGCATAACTGTTTTTAGCTTAAAATAATCCTCCACTAATTTGACATGTGACCCAGAAACAAACAAGAAGTGCTGTCTCCCCAGCCTTCCAGCTGAACTCAGCCATGCTGGTCTCGAAGGAGACAGGCTGGCAGCCGGGCAGTAGCGTTGCCTCTGTCCACACAAAGATCTGGCCCTGCCTCTCCACCTGCCCCGGCGGGCTGCTCTCAGGACGGGCAGGAAGCTCATCTGTCATCACAACAGAAATCAGCTCCGTTGGCTTGCATTCTTTTGCTCACCAGGAAGCTCCTTCCCAGGCCACTGCGGTGGATGTTTCAGCAGATGCTGCTCCCCCTTCCTTCCTCAGCCTCCCAGCCGCCGCCGCCTCTTCCTTCTGAACGGCTCAGTGTCCAAGACGGAAATCATGGCTGCGGAACTGACTACTGCACTCAGATGAAGAGAAGGGAAGCACCCCTACTCTCTTACTTCAGTCTATCTCAGGCTGTCTCACAGCGATTCTGGTCTTCTCTACAAAGATGCAGTGGTTCTAATCTTGTCTCAGAGAATACATACTCCCTACTGTCATGGGCCCTGGGGCCACCACTGACAGCATTCCCACGTCCTCCATTCTCCTATGCTGCCCATTTCCTGTCTGACCTGAAAGTAGCTCCTTCTGGTTTTTGGCTGTATTGTTTCAATACTTCCCTGCGCTTTGGATTTGGGCTTTCTCAGATTCCTTGAAGGAATCACAGTGCCTGTGTATCAAGGTCAGAAGCCTGCATAGTATAGCCTAGGGGCTTGCCAGTGGGTCTTGCACTTATGCACAGCAGTTCCTGGTGACCAACAGGCCTTGGGGTTTTATGTATTCATTTTGCAAACGAATTACAAGAAGTCCTTTCACTTGTCCTAGGGCGTGAGGAGAGAAATAAGAAGAGTCTCAGGCCCACACCCTTAATGTGTGACCCTCACACACGAGCCCAACGACGGGGGACGGAGAGAGCTTTGCCAAGTCGGAGAATGTGCAAGGAAGGGCCGCTCCCAGCCCTCGTGGAGGAAGGATGAAGAGAAATCAAGGGAAGAAGGGGTGGAAAGCTCACGCCAGCCAGGGGTGCACAACAAAGCCAAAGCGGGAGGAGGAAAAGTAGGACAGGTGGAGAGAAGACAGGGAGGAGTCTATGGGGCTGATTAGAAAAGAGAACCAACCATCGGAAAGCAGGACACGGACAGCAGCGAGAAGGGGAACCGGTGACTGTCTCCACGACTGCTCAGCTGCACCCACGGTAAACACCATCATGGCTCCACTATGGCCACTTCACCAAAAGATGCTGAAGCTTCAGAAACAAGTGACCTAGACTGCCCATAATATGTTACTAAGAGCATGAGGCAGATATAGAAAAAGGAAAAAAGACCCAGGCATTAATAAGCTGGGAGGAAAATGCACTGAAATGATATTAGCCATTGATGGTAGGATTATGAATTATTTTAATTTTCTTTCTACTCATCTAGATTTTCTGTTCCATAGTGAGTGTGAATACTATTTTAACAGGCTACTTACTAATGGAGTAATCTTTAATAAAACATATCCTGATAAAAGGATTCCTAAAGCTTATTTAAGTTCATGATAATGGCAT